GAGAAGATAGAGAAAATGGGACAGAAGCATTATTTAAGGAGAAAATGTCTGAAAACTTCAAAACTGAAAAAAGATTTTAATTCACAAATTCAAGCATCCCTAAGGGAAACCACACCAAAGACAAAGCATCTTAAAAATAATCAGAAGAAATAGTTCAATAACTTCAACGATGTAGAATTAATATTGACACTGTTTACCAACAGAAACAGTAGAAACTAAAAAGTTAGTAATGTATATCTTTAGAAGAAAATACCTCCCAACCTAGAATTCTGTGACTCTTGAAATTGCCAGAGATGCAATAAAAATGGCAAATATGAGGGCGAAACTAAATGAATGTTGACTGTCAAAAAATAGTAATGTCTTATGGAGTTTTTTTTTTAAATATGCATATATTTAATTAAAGTATCTAACATATAATTGTGTACAAGTCTTGGCAGTGGCACGTGTAGTTTTTAACATCCTTACATTGTTTGGGAAGAAGATAAAAATACCACTTAATATTAGACTTTGGTGAGTTAGTATTTCAAGTTGTAATCTCTGGAATGACCACTGACAACTGTTAAACAATGTGTAATGCAAATTAGTGGGAGGAAAACAAAGAATTAATAAATAATACAAGGAAAGCAAGAAAGGAGAGGAAAAAACTAATAGATCAGGCAGACAAATATAAAATAGAACAAATATCCAAAAAGGACCTGCTTATAGACCCATCAAAAGCAAAAAGATACAGAAAGGTTGAGAGTAGAAAGAAAAAACAAACACTAATGAAGAGGAAGTTTGTATATTAATATTAGACAAAGCAGACTTTAAAGCAGAAAATATTCTGAAAAAAGCAATTTACTAGGAAGATATAGCAATTGTCAATTTGTATGAACCTAATAACATGTTCTCAAAATTTAGAAATCAAAGTAGAGAGACCTACAAGGAGCCAAATAACCCACAATCATACTGGGAGATATTAACAGCCTCTCTCAGTAACTTACAGAATAAGCAGGCAAAAGCAAATCAATTGCAGGTGTAAATGATTTGAACAACACAATCAGCAAACTTGATCTCATGGATGTGGCAATACATGTGTGTGCATGTATGCATACACGTACGCATAAAACACTACACTCTACAGTGCAGAATATACATTCTTTTCAAGTATGTATGGAGCATTTACTAAGTTTACACATGATCATAAAGCAAGTTTCAATACATTTTTAAAGTTTGAATTCCCTTAGAGTGTTTTCTTATATTACAGAGCAATTAAGCTAGAAATCAGTAACAAAAAGATAATTTTTAAAAATTGTCATTTGCTTGGGCCGGCCCGGTGGCGCACTGCTACAGTGCGCCGCTTGGGAGCGCGGTGGCGCTCCCGCCGAGGGTTCGGATCCCACAT